CTGTTTATGTAAACTGTAGAATCTTTCCTCAAAGATTTCAGTCTCCTACCAGAAGTATTTACAAGTTTCTTCCTATTCTTACACTCGACTGTATATTCACTGTACGTCTTATGACTAGGACATCCTCATACAATAAAGTCTACAGCCCGTCCACCTCGAGTATTGTTACCACACCGACACACTCCTCGTCCCTATAGCTAATAATCGGTTACAGAGTGAGATATTAACAGAGCGACACATGCACACCAACATTAAGTCAATGTGATATATAGTATGAATTATAAACAGTGAAATATAGTGAAGACAGCTTAAGTTAATTGGTCTCCTCTTGTATTTGCTGTTTTGATATATTTGACCTTTGGTAATCTTCTTGTATTTGCTGTTTTGATATATTTGACCTTTGGTAACCTTTTGAGTTATTCACACTAAATAACTCTACCAGTATACAGTATACCAGGTACTGAAGTAATCGGTCCATTACTCGGGTGGTAATAGCGACGGCCAAATAACTATCTAATTAAACAGGCAATTCAGAACAGCATGGGCATTCCCAAACATAATTTGATTCATCTTGCAAATTATTTTTATTACATATAATATCTACTCTAAGACATCTTTGTGTAATTGTAGATCAAAATCACTTTAAAGATATTAATAAATATTTCCTTTGCGATGTGTTCGGGGTTTTTTCCTTCGCATTCCTGTTTAGAATATTAATGTTTTTCTCTGAATGAATTGCAATAAAACAATCAGTCAAATTTTTCTTGTCTAAACTATCAATGTTTTTCTCTAAATGAATTATAAAGAAATCGTTTTTTTCGTTTTTTGTTTCCCATATGTAGCCTAGACATATTCTGGTCTTGCCTGATGCTCAGCATCCTATTATCTAACATATCTTCACGACACGCGTGTAAAATAATAGCACCAGTCTTTATAATTGAACCATCCTATCACAAGCACATCATGTAGTCTTAAAAAACAAACCATCATTGTTTCAACATCGGTAGCTTCATGGCCTTGTAACTTAGTTTGTTATTACATGTATAACAAACGACTCAAAAACTGATATTTGGGTCGTGACAAATGACCGTTGGGTTGCAGTATTTAAATATTCTAAGACACAAATTCATAACTAAAAGGAAATCCATAAACATATGAAAAACTCACATCAAAACAATCAATTACACAATTAGAATACATTGTAATTAAACAACAAGTGTCTATGCTGTACACGTGAATGCCTTGTATGATCAGTTTTGACGATTGACGAAGTCCTGGTCGAGTCTATACGTTTTAGATTTATCTTAAAACCTAACCAAGCATGATAGTTATTTACCTATTCACCTAAAGGGACCAATTACAGACTTTTTAAAAATGACTTAGTATTAGAAAAATACCTGCTAGATCTCCCTCCAAGACTAGCAAATGTTTATTGTAAATTTAGAATTTGTAATGTTAAATTTCCTATTGAATGTGGTAGATGGAATAACATTCCAAGAGAAGATAGAAAATGTACTTTTTGTGACATAAATGAAATTGGAGACGAATATCATTATTTGTTTAATTGTAATGACCACCAGATACTGCAAAACAGACGAAAATTTATGTCGAGATATTATTTTGAAAGTCCTAGTACTTTCAAGTTTAATACATTATTTAATTATGTCAATAATGAAGAATTAATTTCACTTATAAAATTCCTTAATCACATTAATGCACACAAAATGTCTTCTATGAATACGTCGGGTTCGTTAAATACATTTTGTATATAACGAGAATTTAGTGTTTATGTTCAACTGCTCAAACAGAAAATTATTTACATCATGAATTCTTGGTTCAGTTGAAGCTAATTTATGAAAACGACCAAAAAATCTCATTCATTTAGAGTAATCTACACATTTTTTTAAATATCTCTCTTCTTTTAAAGAAGATGTTATCAATTTAAATCGCTCATAGTATTATTATATCATAATTTCCCCTTGTTGATGCATATACCTTTTTAAGCTTGTGATCCTTTTTGTACTTTTTTTTTTATTAATAAGATGGATAAGTTGTTCATCGTTTTTACAGTTATTTAATGTATAAACGTGTTACAATCGCTATAACTTTGCTTACATTTCACGCAATCCAGAGTTTAACTTCCTCTGTGTCTCGTGCAACACCAAAGAATTTGAGGTACAAAACGGTAAAATAAAATAATTTGATGAACATAAAAAAATATTTGATTCATATGAAAATAATTTAATTCACATTTAAACAATTTAATTCACACGTAAACAATTTAATTCACACGTAAACAATTTAATTCACACGTTATATTAATCAAGACTCGTACAAATGATAACGTGACTGAGGTGGGGACCGGTTTCCCTATCGTATCTACTCCCCTACGTTAAACTCTCCCTTGGTGTTTTACTCCTAAAGCTTTCGATAGCTTCAACTTCTTCCAGCACTTGGTGATCTAAGTATTACCTTAAACTTTATATAAATGTACGATATGTCATAATTTTATTACTCAAATATGAATCAACATTCCCCGATCGGACGTGAAAAGGTATGGGGTCACCTTTCCGACCATTCGGGTTTTCTCTGGTTTACTCCAGCATTACGTATACTGCCCTCTGTGCGCTTCAATCCGGGCCAGCAAGTGTGATAAATATAAACTAGAAAACTAGTTTCACAATTGTTGGAAATAAATAAACTTTATGTCAATCAACATCTTTTAGAATCTGACAATGAACGCGTTTTCAGGATTCATCACAACCAGTTTCTCGTTTTGTCCCCTAATAAATGCAGTATATCTACAGTATTTACTCCAGCATTACGATTGACATAAAGTTGATTTATTTTGCAACAATTGTGAAACAAGTTTTCTAGTTTATGTTTATCAGTTTTAATAATTTGATGAGTGATATTGTGTCATAACCATTTCTTTACCATATATACCTTTGTTGTATGTAATGAGTCAACTGAATGCTTCTCAGGCCTATAACAACTAACCGTAATTTCACTTTTATTCGCAGCAATATAATCAAAGTTTGGGTAATCCTGAAATAAAATTTCTTGTGTTAAAGGAATCAGTTTCTGCTCAGAAAAATAAAGGGATGAGGTTGAAAAACAGGCATATTGTTGAGGAGATTACAAACAACTTGTAACTAAGATTTTAAACATATTAAATGGATTCCAATTGATTTGTTTTACGTAACCCACGTAGCAGAAGTAGGTCACTGTAGGGCAAAACATATCAAAGCATCTACAACTGGTACATAAAACATAACCAACCCTCCACCACTAGTACATAAAACATAACCAACCCTCCACTATTAGTACATAAAACATGACCAACCCTCCACTACTAGTACATAAAACATAACCATCGCTCCACTACTAGTACATAAAACATGACCAACCCTCCATCACTAGTACATAAAACATAACCAACCCTCCACCACTAATACATAAAACATGCCCACCCCTCCACTACCAACACACAAAACATAACCACCCCTCCACCACTAATACATAAAACATGACCAACCCTCCACTACCAACACATAAAACATAACCAACCCTCCAACACTAGTACATAAAACATAACCAACCCTCCACTACCAACACACAAAACATAACCAACCCTCCAACACTAGTACATAAAACAAAACCAATCCTCCAACACTAGTACATAAAACATAACCAATCCTCCACTACTAGTACATAAAACATAACCATCCCTCCACTACTAGTACATAAAACATGACCAACCCTCCATCACTAGTACATAAAACATAACCAACCCTCCACTACCAACACACAAAACATAACCAACCCTCCACCACTAATACATAAAACATGACCAACCCTCCACTACCAACGCACAAAACATAACCAACCCTCCAACACTAGTACATAAAACAAAACCAATCCTCCAACACTAGTACGTAAAACATAACCAATCCTCCACTACTAGTACATAAAACATAACCAACCCTCCACCACTAGTACATAAAACATGACCAACCCTCCAACACTAGTACATAAAACATAACCAATCCTCTACCACTAGTACATAAAACATGACCAATCCTCTACCACTAGTACATAAAACATAACCAATCCTCCACTACTAGTACATAAAACATAACCATCCCTCCACCACTAGTACATAAAACATAACTAACCCTCCACTACTAGTACATAACACATAACCAACCCTCCACTACTAGTACATAAAACATAACCAACCCTCCACCACTAGTACATAAAACATAACCAACCCTCCACCACTAGTACATAAAACATAACCAACCCTCCACCACTAGTACATAAAACATAACCAACCCTCCACCACTAGTACATAAAACATGACCAACCCTCCACCACTAGTACATAAAACATAACCAACCCTCCACCACTAGTACATAAAACATAACCAACCCTCCACCACTAGTACATAAAACATGACCAACCCTCCACCACTAGTACATAAAACATAACCAACCCTCCACCACTAGTACATAAAACATAACCAACCCTCCACCACTAGTACATAAAACATGACCAACCCTCCACCACTAGTACATAAAACATAACCAACCCTCCACCACTAGTACATAAAACATAACCAACCCTCCACCACTAGTACATAAAACATGACCAACCCTCCACCACTAGTACATAAAACATAACCAACCCTCCACCACTAGTACATAAAACATGACCAACCCTCCACCACTAGTACATAAAACATAACCAACCCTCCACCACTAGTACATAAAACATAACCAACCCTCCACCACTAGTACATAAAACATGACCAACCCTCCACCACTAGTACATAAAACATAACCAACCCTCCACCACTAGTACATAAAACATAACCAACCCTCCACCACTAGTACATAAAACATGACCAACCCTCCACCACTAGTACATAAAACATAACCAACACTCCACCACTTGTTTATAAGACATTCATTTTGTGTCTAGATAAAGATACTCACCACCACCGATGATTCCCCGCGTGTCCAGGAGAACGGCCAGTATTCCTGAGTGCGTCGAAGTCGATGATTAACAAAATATGCTTTCATCATGATGTTTAAGGTATTCCAGTGATAAATGTAACAAATATACAAATTTCCTAACAAAGTAAAAAAATATACGGCATAGGAGACGTTATTTACAGAGGGCCAGTATCGTGTACAAGTAATGTGGCCCTATAGAAGTTGGGCAGTATTAGTAATGGACGGAGCAACATACAGGGTTCCCCCCCCCAATTTTATTGGTTTCTTTGGGCAATGTGTGGTGCACTCTCAAATCACAGATGCACTGTGTTTGGGGAACAATTGTACATTATACGGATATCAGGAATCGTCGAGCATCTGTAGTGATCAGCGGTCCTTACAGGAACCGTCTGTAGCTCTCGCCGTACACTGACTGGCGGACAGGCTACACCGGCAAAGTCACATGCAGGGATAAGTTTTATACGGATTTCATTAATTTAGCATTAAATGAAAAAAAGTTTCAGTGAGAAAAAAAAGAGTCTGACGTAATACGTTTTCACGAAAGTTGATTTGGGAAATGTTTATCGATGTACGATAAGGAATAGGAGCAATAAAACGAAACTGTTCTGGGCGACGCTGTGTGTCTGGTGGAACCATTAATGAAAGTAAAGAGGTATGGTGGTCATGTCCTCAATAATGAACTCTGTTTGCAATGTCTTTAATAATAAAGTACGGTGGCCATGTTGTCATTGATGAAGTCTTGAGGTCGTGTCGTTACTGATGAATCCTTGAGAGCGTGTCAATTGTGAAAGTTGGTGGCCATGTCGTCAATGACGAAGTCTTGAAGTAATGTCGTGAATGGTAAAGTCTTGAAGTAATGTCGTCAATGGTAAAGTCTTGAAGTAATGTCGTCAATGGTGAAGTTTTGAAGTAATGTCGTCAATGGTAAAGTCTTGAAGTAATGTCGTCAATGGTGAAGTTTTGAAGTCATGTCGTTAATGATTAAGTCTCATGTCGTCAGAAACAGCAACAAGCCCTGGGCCCGTATTCATGAAGCTGTTATTAGGCTCAAGCATGGATTCTGTGCTCAAACCAACTTTCTTTTAACTTGCTTAAATCATGTCAAACGATCAAAAAGTCATATGTAAACACCGAAAACGAACTTTAAGTCTCTCCAACGGTCATGCAAATCATTGACACAATAAGATTTAAAAACAAATCATAACGGGAACAAGAAATTCGGCTTGAGCACAAAATCCATACTTGAGCATGAGAACGATTTCATGAAAACGGGCCCAGGTGTCAAGCCTAAACGATGAAGCTCGACGGACATGTCTTTAGTGATGGTATCGAAATTTGCCAATTCTTCCCCCGAACCTGAAGGGTCAGTCTTTAAGCTGCGGTCACATCTTACGGTCACGCACGTAGTTGACCGTAGTGGTGGATGACCGTAGTTGACTGTAGTAGACCGTAGTTGACTGTAGTGGACCGTAGTTGACTGTAGTAGACCGTAGTTGACTGTAAGATCGTAGTTGACTGTATTAGACCGTAGTTGACTGTAGTAGACCGTAGTTGACTGTAGTAGACCGTAGGAGACCTTAGTTAAACGTATTAAACTTAGTAAGACGTGGTTCAACGTAGTTATAAATGTAATTTGAACTTCAAGAAATTAATTAGTTGGCCGTGGTTAGCACAAATGTTCAATATATCCAAATTGTTTGGCCGTGGTTAGCACAAATGTTCAACATATCCAAATTGTCTGCCCCAACACAACACACAACACTGGATAGGTTTGGCCGAAAATTGTATTATACATTGTAGTTCAAACTCAAAAAAAACATACAGCACCAGACATATACAGACAATCGTGCAAACGTTCGAAAAATGTATAAGGCAATTTCCTATCCAATTATTAATATGTAAGCAATGTAGCACACAACAAAAGCAATTAAATAGCTCATCAGCAAATTCCGGCCAATTGCATCTATCTCTGTAATTCATGCGTAGACTTATAACTATATTACATGTATATGATAATAGCATTGACATGAATATGTTTCTGTTAACATTATGAATACACTGGCTATGAAATTAAACGGAATAAACTGTACATATAAGTTAATAAGTAGCATATAAATCTCCTTCAATAATTATAGACAATACTGTGCATGTAAGTAAATACAATACAACGTGACAATGTACAATATACAAACATCCACTGACAATACCACGTGACACTGGTCAATGTACAATGTACAAACATCCACTGACAATATCACGTGACAATGAACAAACAGCCACTGACAATAGCACGTGACAATGTACGATGTACAAACATCCACTGACAATCCCACGTGACAATGTACAATGTACAAACACCCACTGACAATATCATGTGACATATACCATGAACAAACATCCACTGACAATATCACGTGGCAATGTACAAACATCCACTGACAATTACACGGGACAATGTACAAACATCCACTGCCAATATCACGTGACAATGTACGATGAACAAACATCCACTGACAATACCACGTGACAATGTACAATGTACAAACATCCACTGACAATATCATGTGACATATACCATGTACAAACATCCACTGACAATATCACGTGACAATGTACATTTGACAATATCACGTGACAATGTACAATATACAATGTACAAACATCCACTGACAATACCACGTGACAATGTACAATAAACGAACATCGACTGACTAATTCACGTGACAATGTACACTGTATGAACACCCACTAACATCACGTGACAACGTTAAAAGTACATGCACAGGCACGTGACAATCGCTCACACAGGTCGGACGATTTATTCAATAAGATGTGACATCTTGTTTACGTATGACGTCAAAACAGAGCACGTTCAGCCCGATAATCCGCGCGCGATGTCTGTGATGGCGGCTCGCCTGTCATCGTTGATATATCTCGGGATCACTGTTCTGTTGAAAGTTAACGCCGTTTGATGATTATCCACTTTTTGGTATGATTTACTTCCCCTCCGAAATACTGCCACCACTTAGCAGCTATCATTAAAAAACTAAATCTTAAAGACATTTTTCTTTTTTAAATTGTGCCGAACGAAAGTCCTCGTCACTGTTCCGTATAATTTATAAAAACCGTAAGAGAACATCAATACATCAATATGATAAAAAGAGCAATCGCCATTTAACCGACATTCATCTCACCCTACCATCTCACCCTACCATTAATAAACTAGGAATGTAAAACCATAGTGTCACGGGGACCTGCCACGGGTTTCTAAAGTGAAATCGTTGTGGCAGAGGGACTTAACACAGATATCTAAAGTGAAATCTTTTTGTCACGGGACCTTATAGTGAGTATCTAAACTGTAAACCGCATTATCACAAGGACTTGACACAGGGTATGAAAACTATAAACCATATTGTCACGGTGACCTGACACAGGTATCTAAACTGAAACCGTTGTGGCACAGGGACCTGACACATAGTATGTAAACGATAAACCATATTGTCATAGGGACCGGACACATGATATGTAAACAATAAACCGTATTATCACAGGGGCTTGACACAGTGAGTGTAAACGATGAACAGTATTGTCACAGGGACTTGACACAGGGTATGTAAACTATAAACCGTATTTTCAAAGGGATCTTACACATAATATGTAAACGATAAACCGTATTGTCATAGGACCCTGACAGGTATCTAAACTATAAACCGTATTGTCACAGGGACTTGACACATATCAACTTAACTATAAACCGAATAATTGTAAAACCGTTATACGTGAATGTTGAGCTCTGGAAACTAAATTAATGTTTATATTAACCAATATTGAGGGATCTACTGCCTAAACTCATCCGCGTATTTGCTAGGATAGAGATAAGCACGTACTTTGAGAAGTGTGCCTATAAGTGACCGTGAGAGACAAGAACGTGCGTGAGACTGGTCACATTTTATTTATAGACCCATTGAAAGCAAATAGGTTAAACCGTGATTTCATCAATGACATTTGGGCAGCAGCGAGATTGGTGTCATAGAGTCAAGTCTCCAAACCGTTTTTTTATCGTGAGAAACTAGTGACTTTGTCAAGCGCCTGAATGAGACATACTCCCAAACGATCCAAAGGTTACGACACAGTTCTCAGCCGCGTGCGTCACGTTCGCGACTCACCACGTGGTCTGCCTGCATACTTCTGCAGATCACGGCGGGGCTATTTTTAGATAGATTGTAAACAAAAATAATATTTATTCAACAAAAAAAGTTGAGTTATAAATCTCGAGTTAATTTGATTGCAAGCCGGGTGTCGGGTGATGCGATAGGCTCTCACGGGAAGCTCCTCGACAGTAAGGCCATTCTCAATGGCTTAACATCGGTGGGGTTACGACTTATTACTTACTTATCCTTCATAAAATATGGACCATGATTATCTATAATTTCAATATCGAACTGTACTAAAGTTCCACGGAGCACGATTTCCCACGTGCTTACCAGACGATTTGCACCGTATCCGTCGATCCGAGAGCGTGCAGTGCGCGTGTGAAGTGTTACAGAACCGTGCAGACATTCGGGGACGTGCAAACAGGAGTTTGTGATGACTTTTACATTTTCCGTAGTCACGATCTGCGATCCTAGCCGAGAAAGCGCACGGCGCCATTAGTGTTTATTGAAAGGGAGAGGCGTGTACCAAGAATTGTTAATTCGACATTTCGTCTTCATCAGATAGAGGTTGTGAACGAACATTATACGACGGGGCATAATCACTCGTTTGTCTTTTCATCAGATACAATCCTTTTTATTCTAACATTTATTTCCGGTAGAAATTTTCATAATCTTGTGATATCAAAATTGGGTTATTCTTGGAGTCTTGATTTATTTCTTGTGCTTATCTTGTAGACGGGAGCAATGTGGTCAAAAGATTAGACCATTTAATACGAATTAATTAAATCAGCACATGGTGATGACTTCCGGCTGAGTTTTTCACAGTAATGGTGCTCTATCCCCCACCATCGCAGTACATTTCTCACTTTAGTGGTGTTCTACCCTACAATTACTGCGGTACCGTTTTCACAGTAGATGTGTTCTACCCTACAATTACCGCGGTACCGTTTTCACAGTAGATGTGCTCTACCCTACAATTACCGTGGTACCGTTTTCACAGTAGATGTGTTCTACCCTACAATTACCACACAGTAGATGTGTTCTACCCTACAATTACCGCGGTACCGTTTTCACAGTAGATGTGT